CATATACACAATACAAATCACACTAGACCATGCATTCTTCCCATAAAATAACAGAGTTCATAAACATAAATAAAGTTACAAAAAGCATTCTCTCAAAAGCAAAATAAATACAAACTAATTCAAAATGACTTTACATACAACTTAAACAAAACACTCGCGGTTAAAGCATAACATCATACCAAAATAACCCATCTCACATTCACACAACCTTTCCCCACATTCGCGCCATATACGCCATTACTTTTGAACATGGCGTCCCCTGAACGCAACACAACATGGCGGCAGACGACTGCAAACGTTGTTTCACCAACAAAAACCTTTCCCCTTAATACATGTACTCAGTACTGCTTGGCCAAAACTAAAACAAACACTAAAACACATTTTCGGAAGTCGCAGGTTGCCACTGTCATAGCATATACTTATAGTGCTACGTAGCATTATAGCATTATGCCGATGATACACTAATACTCATTACAACAAAATACCACTCTCATCTCAAAATATAGCCGAACAGTTGTTACTCAACTTACATGACATTTATTACCAGTTCGGTAACATAAAAGTTTGTTTGTCAGTACCTGTGGATTAATAGAGAGGACACCGAAGTTAGCGTCTTGCTCAGGCCAGAGCTCATTTATTTCTGAGCTGCGCATGCGCAGAGCCTATAGCTAGAGTCTCTCTGGTAGTTTCACAGCAGTGCAAGAGCACCATCTACTGGCATAATGAAATATAACCATGGTCTGGCAACACATAACAATGTCAAAATAAGTCACAATAATAAACAAAAAATAAGGGGGTAATTGGTTTTCTTGCAAAAATAAACATGTAGCTTTTTCAACCTGCTACATATGCAGCAAAAACCTACTTAAACGTAACTGGTCGAGAAAATTACAAGCCAACTACAGGAAAGCTCATGGTACAAAAAGTGATGGTAGTTTCCCTTAGACAGAGTGTTTTCCTGCTCATTGTACAGAAGGCGATGGTCTTTGCCATACAGATTCACTAATACAGTTTAAGGATAGTAAAGAATGTATCTATGGCTTTTATTATGAAAAATAGGCCGGAAGTATGTGCATTATTGCACAGGGGAAGAACAAGTTGTGTTTCCGGTGCGGGTGCGCATCATCAGGCAGGAGCATCCAGAGGTAGAGTAGAAGGTGTATAATGGCTGCGGGTGAGTGTTTTGAACTTGTTGAAATAATTACCGGTGATCTGTGAGGTCAGCGGGTTTTTTGTGAATGAAAATCTCCGCATATGGCTCCAAACAGTGCGCAGCTTGCCACGTTTGCGTCAGTCTGAACAAGCGTCCCCCTAACATGTAGTCAGCTACATGAACTGATACCTTCCAATAGAAGGAGAGAAGGAGCTAAGGGAGGAAGCTAAGCGACACACGGACATTAAGCATGGTCGTATGGGAGCAGTGAAGGCAGATACTCGTCTGATAGATACAACCCCATTTCCAAACAAAGTTGTGTAAAATGTAAACAAAGACTGAATGCAGTGGTTTGCAAATCTCATAAACCCATATTTAATTAACAATAGAACACAGAAAGCATACCACATCTATAAACTGGAAAAATTAACCGTTTTAAGAAAAGAAATGAGATCATTTTGAATTTGATGGAAAGTTGGGACAGGGTCATGGGCACGAGAGCATAGGAACAAGACCAACCAACTTTGACTGAGGGGCATTTGGCTCAAGTAAATTTACTATTCCATTTAAAAAAAAAAAAATTAAAGGTGCTTGCTCTCACACACAGCCTGCATAACTGCAGCCATGCATGTACACTCAGAGAGCTGTAGCCACAGTTATAAAAGTGCATACATGTCTTTGATTGCAGAGGCAACAAACAAGAGAGACATTATCTGTGCAAACAGTTGACTATGAGCTAAAAGTATCCTCAAAACATTAGCATTTGATTTGCAGAATTTTAGTAGACTGATACTTTAAAACTAACAGCACAAGCTGATGTGTGACCTCGTTTTAGAATCAAAGACAAGTCTTCCCAAAGTCTGACCTGCACCTGTCCATCAGCTCCGGGTCCCCCTCGGTCATGCTCGTTAGCACTATTGCTGTACAACCATTAAACCACTGTTAACCAGATAAATAATCTAAGCTCGCAAAACATTTAGCTGTGACATTTGACAGGTTGTCTGTGTTCTATTGTGAATAAAAAAAATGTGGATTTATGAGACTTGCAAATCTGTTTTATTTACATTTTATGCAGTGTCACAACATTTTTACAATTGTGATGGCATATGCAATTCCTCTAATTTTGGATCATTAGCATACAGATTACAGAAAAATTGTACACAAAAAAACTTCATAAAATGCAGAAAGTTGAAGTATTAAAAACAAGAAATCCAGCTGTGCAAAGAAGTCAACGTCCATCATTAGCTTGTCCCAGAGGAATGAAAATACTCAGTGAATGTTACCTGCATTTAAAAATATGGAGAAAAGGACCACTTCAAATGATTGATTTTGTATTTCCTGGTCTAAAATGTTTGCCAGTGGATGATAGTTCTTTGTGTAATGGTTAAATGTTAGCTAATCAATCAAATGGTTCACCCTGACAGAGAAAAAAAAATACATTTATAAGTATTCCCTGTTAACTGAAACAGTTCAGTAAAAGGCAATCTATCCTGCTGATTTTTATGTTATAGGTTAGTAGTAGGTAGCAGTAGTGGGTGTAATATTCAGCAATAGGAAATGGTGGGGTGAGAATAAATTTGGAGTATTGTAAAGGTGTATGATACTAATAGCTGTACATATCAGAAGAGGAGCTGCATGGCTAGTGTTGAGTTGTGTATTTCTGGCACAAATGAAAACTGAATACTCAGTCAGACACTCAGAATGGAGTGTGGGGCCTCCCTGCTGCTGCGGAGTCGGGGCAGTCTGCCTCCCCCCACCGCAGGGAAAAGGGTAACACCACCTGGGTCTGGGTGCAGTTCCCCCCTCAGGGGCAAGGGTACCTAGACCCGGGGCTTAGAGTACGCTTGGGGAGTGTGATCATGTGTACAGCGTCTCTTTATGTCTGTCTCCACGTTGGTTGAGTGTGGAGTAAGTGTATATGAGAGCATGAGGGTGGGAATGGATGTTTGTATATGTGTGTGCCTGTATGTCTGTGTCTATATGTCAGGTTGGGTGTCAGGCGCCACCTCTCTGGGGACATCTTAGGTCCTCCAAGGTATGGAGGCCTATCTCCCCCTACCACCACTTCCCCTGCCAGTGGCGGACTCCCTCAGACATCGGTGCGTTGGTGGTTCTTTGTGTCCGGGGATGGGCGTCCAGGTACACACCGGCTCACTCCTTGGCGGCCGCTTATCGGGGCCTGGAGCCTGGGGCTTGCTCGGGCCACTTCGGAGGTGGGGTGCCCCCGGCCTCTCGGCCTGGGGCTCGGTCACTCAGGCACGGCTGGCTGCCGGCGGAGCTCACGTGCGCGTCACTGCAACTCCCCCTGGCTTCTGCTCCGCGGAAGCCAGCTCTTACTGGGACAGTGGCGCGGCTGCCCCTCTGTTGGTCTTCCTTGGTCTCTTGTGTTCTGGGGGCCTCTGGATGTCTGGAGTTTTGATCTCCTCCATACCTGCTTCATGCCCTGGAGGACGGGGCTGTGGCCCCCCCACACCCTCTAGCAGATCATTACATGAAGGAACCTTTTAAAAAACAAAAAACAAACGTGTCCATGCTCACAGGTGTACACACGGGTGATCACACCCACAAACTACACCCTTTTTGGCTCCTACCTCAAAGCACACTGTGTTCTGTTGATCTTATGTGCTGCACAATAATTTTTAATATTTAGTATTTGCTGTCATATTCCCATATATCATTGTGATGTTGTTTATTCTATTGCTCTTGTTCTCTTCTGCTTGTTTTCTTTTTTCTTTCTCAGCAGGTGACCCAGGTGATTGATATATGCATTTTTTTTCTTTTTTTCTTATTTTTTTTCTTTTTCTGCTCATTCTGTTGGTTTTTGGTTTTTGCCCTTCTCCCCTGTCCCTCTTCTTAGCTGCTGTTTCTCTTTCCCTCTTTCTTTCTCCCCTTCTTTCCCCCAGTCAAGTCTGTCCCATATTCAGTAAGTGAAAATAAAATAAACAATAAAAGGTGAATCAAATTGGTAAAGTAAATCCGTTGGGCATCTTTCTTTGTCTTTAGACAACAATTCTGATGGCAAAAGAGCCAAACGGGACAGGCAAAAAAGAAAAAAAAGAAGAAAAAAAAGAATTGAAATGATTTGTTGAACTGGGAGAATATACGGGCATTTGTGTACCCTTCAGCCGTAAAAGCCTGATAGGGTATTGTCGACACCCCACCTGATAGGTGGACGATGTGGACACCCAGGTTTGTGCATGTGATAAATCGTCATAGAGGTGATGTATTGTTTTTGAAATTCATAACGTCGGCACATCAACTGAAAGATTACACTAACTTCAAGGTCAAGATGAGAAGTCAACTTTTCTGAAAACTACCCATGATTTTCCAACTTATAACATAGGTTCATCTGCTAAGAGGCTGAGGGGCAGCACTGCTGGCTGGATGGTATTGGATGGCAATGTCATTTTCTATTAGGTGGTCACAGTTAAGATTAATTTAGATTATATTTAATAGCACTGTCTATCCACAGTCATCTCAGATCTCACTAACATGGAGTATTAGTACCAGTGATAAGTTATGTGATTATAGAGTTTTTGCTCTTAATTATGAGTGTGTGTGTTTCAGTCTTCCCTGTAGATGTCCAGCAGCTACTGGTGATAAAAGAAGAGGTTTCCCATGAATGTGAATGGAGCCCCAGTGTGAACCATCCTGACTCAGAGCTGTGGAAAAATCAAGAGCGAGTTCACTGTAATGGGCTGGAGGAGGATATCAAGAGGTTTCCATTTACTGTTGTTCATGTGAAGAGTGAAGATGAAGAAGAGAAGCCTCAGTCATTAAAGGTTCATCAAAACCAAAATAGAAACAAGATAGAGACTGAGACTCAAGCGAGCAACTCCTCTGAACAGAGGAAAATGGACCGAAGTACAAATAACAATATACAAACAAATACTGATGGCGAAGCACCGGAATCTTCTGAGACTGAAGTCAGTGAGGATGGCTGGCAGGAACCTTTGTCAGATTGTGGACCTGAAACTGACGACAGCGACAGCCAATTGAATGACGACAGAACACCTGAGTCAGGTGTAAATAATGCAAAAAGGTCTTCCAGTTGTTTGGTGAATGAGAGAAGTTCTAGAGTGGAGCAAAGTGTTGATTCTCAGATGAAGCGATTTGGATGTGATGATTGTGGTAAACGATTTAACCAAATGAAAGATCTTAGAGTACACATGAGAGTCCACACGGGAGAAAGACCATTCTGTTGTGCAGATTGTGGTAAAAGATTTAGATATCAAGGAAGTCTGAATGTACACATGAGGCTCCATGCTGGAGAGAAACCGTATGCTTGTGATAAATGCGGTAAAAGATTTAGCCTAAAGACAAACCTTACCAGACACATAAGAGTCCACACGGGGGAGAAACCATTTAGCTGTGACATTTGTGGACAAAGATTTAACTATCGAAGAAATCTTAACATGCACATAAGAGTGCACACAGGAGAGAAACCGTTTAGTTGCGACAATTGTGGGCAAAGATTTAACCAAAAGATCGAACTTAGGAGACACATGAGAGTTCACACAGAAGAGAAACCGTATACCTGTGGCGATTGTGGTAAAACGTTTAGTTACCAGTGTAATCTGAAGACACACATGGCACTCCACAAAGGAGAAAAACAGTTTGTTTGTGGTGTTTGTGGTAACATATTTAACCAAGAGGGGAATCTAAAGATACACATGAGAGTCCACACAGGAGAGAAACCATTTGGTTGCGATTTCTGTGGCAAAAGATTTAATCAAAAGATTCATCTTGAGACGCACATTAGAGTTCACACAGGGGAGAAACCTTATAACTGTGGATTTTGTGGCAAAAGATTTAGACACCAGTGTAATCTAAAGATACACACCAAACTCCACAAGGAATAAATAAGTATTGAGAGTCTCAACGGGATTTTTTCCCGTGACTGGGAGTAGCGATGCCCATCAAAATTATCTCTGCAAACAGAATGATGTGCAAAACAGTGTTCTTATCAGTGCTGTTTTTATTTTTGACAAAGCTAGCCATAGGGCTGCTCGATTATGGCAAAAATGATAATCACGATTATTTTCACTGAAATTGAGATCTCGATTATTTGACGATATTTATTTAACAATAACAATGTATTGAATAATGACTTTAAAGATTGTCAAAAAATAATATAAAATAGTGTGCAAATACTGATAACAGTGCAAATGTTT